TTGTAGATGGATGCACAGAGGAAGACAAGAGTAAGAAGTGCAGTGTGGGAGCACTACACTCAACCAACACCAGGAAAGGTCGTTTTTGTCAGAGCCCTTGTTATTCTTAATTTTGACATTAAATTAATTTTCATTTTTACACCAGACATATATATTGGTTCAAAATATCGGTTATCGGTCTAGTTGATCTGTAATAATCGGTATCGGCCCTGAAAAACACATATCGGTTGACCCCTAGTACAGACATTCCTCTTGTTGATAGCAGAGGAGTGGATCCAGCGAGAGCTTGATGGGTCGACGCGGAATGAAAAAGTTTTTCAGTAGTCGCAGCAGTAGAGGTGGCGCAACTAACGACATGTGAATAATCCCGCCCACTCTATAGAGATACTAAACTGCAGTGGAAACGCAAACCGAGCCGAGCCGTGCCGAGTCGTACCACACAGTGGAAAAGCACCATTTGTAGCTTTAACAATGATTAATCTATATTTAATTCATACAGTGGAGTAGAAATGCACCGATCAACCGGACATTTTTTATTTATTTGAGAGACTATCTCTGTTCCATGCTTCCACACAAACTGCATCACAATAATTTTTTCAAAATGTCATTTGTGTGGAAATATTAAGTTAATATTATATTTAGTCTATAAACGGCCGTTAACAGAGGCCTGCAACGCCGAAGACAGACGCAAAGAGAAAATACAGCAGCAGGCAAAGCAAGATCACTGTTCACGATTCACAGAATATAAGAAAATCGTAAATATTGAATTTTATATGGATGCGTTTCTGAGGGGATCTGACTGTTTTCAGAAAAGTTTACATGTTATTTTCTTTTCATCTTGGCTCGATATAATGCATTTAAAGCAGTGCTAATACGCACAGCGCTGCTTTGTGGACAGCAGTAACCAAGTAAACGCTGCTGTTCCATGAGCGCTACCTGCTGTCAAAGAGTGAAATTGCGTCTCATTCAGCCCGTCTGTTTCGGGTTTCATGCAGGTGTTTTATGTAGCATAATTTCACAAAGCTTAAGTCAGACCATTCTGTTTTTGCTTCAAATTTTGAAATTATACTGTAATTTAAACCAAGCATTGTACATGCTACAAGTAGGCATGGGCCGATTACCGGTTTCAAGGTATACCGTGATTTGAAAATTTCACGGTTTCAAAACCACTAACATTTTCCGTTATACCGTTCCTGCGGTATGCGCTATTTTTCATGTCTCCGCAAAACTGAAAGTGTAGGAATCCCTCAGGTTGAGTGAGAGTAACACGACCCCCCCACGGGGTTTATATGAATGTGTTTCTGAGGGGAACTGACTGTCTTCAGAAAAGTTTATATGGTATTTTCTTTTCATCTCGTGTCTGTATAATTCACATTAAAGCAGTGGTTCAGCGCAGCGCTGCTTTGTACACAGCGGTAACCAAGGAAACGCCGTATCTGGTGTTCCATGAGCGCCTCCTGCTGTCAGAGAGTGAATCTGCATCTCATTCAGAGCTTCTGCTGTTTGTTTCGTTCAGGCATGCAGTATAATTTCACAAAGCTAGTCAGAACATTCTGTTTTTGCTTCAAATAGGGTTATGATTAAATCAAATTATGTGAATGAAATTATATAACTAAATTATATGAAATGATATAAATACAAATTATATAATTTAAAATAAATAACTGTAATTACAGATTTAGGTTAAAGATGTCAGTCTTTATTTTTCTTCTTTTTAGCAGGAAATCAACCATCCACATCAAAAGCTGCAGGACAGCCCACAATTCAGCAAAACATTTCAGAGAAAAATCAAAGAAAAAAATAAACAAATACTACTGTTCCAAATATTCTGTATGTTGCTCAAAAATAAAATATATTGTGTTTAGTGGAAAATATTTTTTTTTTTACCCAGACATTAAAAATATATATATATATCACATTTTAGAGCTGTAACAACAATACCGTGATATTTTTGCTTAAGGTTATCATACCGTCAAAATCTCATACCGGCCCATGCCTAGCCACAAGTGTGTATAATCTTTTTTTTTATCTATTCATGATTAAAATGCAGTGGTTAACACTAATTTCAAATGGCTATGAAAATCAAGGTGAACTATAATTATAAGAACTATAATTGACAGCATATACAAACAAAAATCTACTTTTCTTCAACGCAAAGTATTATTTTAATTTAAAAAACACAAGTAAAAAGACAGTAATAAAATAAGAACAAATAAAAAATTGCAAACAACAGCACAAATAAATGCAATAGAATAAAGAGAGCTATGAAACTAAGTTTTTCAGGTTAAGTTAGTTTTTATTCAGGTAAGAAATACTATAAAATAACACATCCAGTGTTATAAATCAAAATCGTGAATCGAATCGAATCGTGAGTCGAGTGAATCGTTACATCCCTAAAGATAACATAGATCAAAAACAATGACAAAGGCAACCATTTTATTTATTTTTTTGTGGCAGAGCCTGTGAAAATGTTGGCAGGGCAAGTAATAATTTGAACCACTGGCCCGACCGGGCCAGTAGAAAAAAATCCTTAGCGTTGAGCCCTGAACATGGAGGTTAAGTGGTTTTGATTTTTTCCGCTTTCAAAACAGAAAGTTGTAGTATATGAATACCAGTTAAATCTCAGTTTTCATATGCATTAAGTGACTGATTAATTCTCTTGCCAGATGGCTTAAAAGTAGTGGTCGACAATTTGGCATTTTTCAAATATCGGCCGATAAGTTTTTCTGTTTGGCCGATGCGTTCGAGGCAGGACTTTTATTTTGAAAGCGGCACAGCGGCAGCACCTGAGCACACAGTGCTCGCATTCTCCCTCTTGTTCGCTGTCGTCGTTAACAGTTCTGTCTAATACGGATAGAAGTCTGTCTAATAATCAGAAAGAACTGTTAAACAAAGGAATTAAAATGTATACAAAAAGTATTATAACGATTGCTTTTATATTATTAGTAATAGAAAGGCAAACATTATAATACTTTCTCGTTTGCCGTCAGCATTCAGCAAATATGCATTTACATCACTTAAACAAATCTTTGAATTGCTAATGAAAATTAAAATTTCACAAACCTTGCAAACTTAGTCGAATCCAGTTGTGAGATCTTGTGAAGTGTGCATGTGACCTGCATGATTGTGTGTTCTTTGCATGACTTTCGGTCCGTGCAAATTGAATGCTTTAAACATTAAATTCGTGACTTCAAATTATGCTGCGCTTTATGCATTTGCCCTCTGTCATATTCATGTCATTTTCACTGTGTGCTGTATGCAAAATGAGTGTTACCTTGGCTTTATTTGAAAAAACATGATTCCCAATGCACACAAACTTCCCAGAATACTGAGTGCTCTGTTGGTTACAGTTTACTTACTTTTCAGTTAGATTTTTATTAAATATTTATTTATTTGTGGTAGGGCTGTCGCGATTCGTCGATTCTATTAGACCGGTGTTTCCCAACCGGGGTGCCGTCTGTCGAGAGCAGGGGTGCCGTGTAAAAAATCATTTTTTAATATTTTTAAATTGCTAAAATGTTCAAAAAAGCATCTATTATATAATATCCATTTCTGATGTCGCCAATAATTAGAGATGCACCGAAATGTCAGGTGCCGAAAATTAGTTCACCGCTCAGGTTTCACTTTCACGTGGTGTGAAGCTCTGCGTGTTATCCCGCTCCAAGCATGTACGCTCCACTCAGTCGCTCTACTCGTATACCGTTCATGCGAATCGGAACAGCAAAGTCCACTCAAAAATTGAGCCGACAGGAAACATCGATGTAGTACAGTATTGTTTCTGTCTGCAATAGCTCTACTGTGTTGTAACATGGTGTGGTATATGGGCATCTCTGGTGAAATTGGCCTACTGATTGCCACCATTGATGGACAACATTTTTTAATAATATCAAAAATATCTGTGTGACATTATATTCTGCAGTTCTTCCCTGTTGTACTGAATATCTATACTTTTCAAATTATCATATCGAAGTTAGAAATTCAAATATTGTGACAAAATTAATTTTGTAGGGTGCCACAAGTTTGTTAAAATTTCCAAAGGGTGCCGCGACTAAAAAAAGGTTGGGAAACACTGTATTAGACTATTCGATTTTAAAAAAGACTCAACTTCATTTTGTCTGCGTCGACTAACCAGGAAAATACCGGAAGTGGCGCATTTCACGGACAAGAATCCATAAAACACATTATTAGACTGTTTTCCAAGGCTGCATGATATATTAAACCAGTTTAAAAATCATAATTAAGCATAACTGTGAATTCACAAACGCTACGA